TACACGTCCTAATTTGCTGCCATTATGGTATTTCAACTTTATCTAGGATATTATTCAAGGTGACCCAGACATTTTAATTCATTAAACAATCTTTTCATTTAATCTTGCTTTCTTGAGAACGTTAAGAAAACATGCTAGATAAAGCAGCCATCTAAGGCAAAACAATTGATAGCTGTTCATTTGGAACAACAGAGGATGAAGACAGGAATAGGGAGAGGATGTGGCATATGGGGCTAATTACCTCCATGTACAATTGTTTCCTTTGCCCTGAGACCAGAAGAACTGGGTGCTGCCTGGCTACCATCACTGAACATTTTGATCAAAAATCCCATAGAAGATTCCTGATCAAAAGGGGGGAAATGCAGAATTGAATTTCAAATTTTCATGGACTTCAGACTTTCTGGAACCATGGGGGCTGGGTGAGCTCCTGAAACTATTGCCCTGTGGTACTCTTTAAAACAAAATTATCCTCTGCAGTCTTCTTAAAATTAATAACAGTTTAAGTTGCAAAGAATGTCTCCTTGACCATCATGCTCTTTTGAGATCTGGTGTATGGGACAAATTAACAACAGCTGGAGTCCTGGTATGGCACTGTGGGTTAATGCACTGGACTGCAAAGTTGGTTTGAACTGCAAGGTCGGTGGTTCAAGCTCACCACTTGCTCCTTGGAAACCCTATGCAGGGTCACTTGAGTCGGAACCAACTCGACAGCACTTAATAGCAACAACTGAGAACCATGAGGTCAGTCATTCAAACCTACCAGCTGCTTCTCAGAAACACTGTACAGGGTTGCTATGAGTTGGAACGGACTCTGCTATACTTCACAACAACAACAACACTTGAAAGAGTAGGCAGTTACCTTTGTCGGCAGTGCATTTTTGCTAATGGGAAAGGAGCACTCAGAAAAGGAGGTTGAGAATGATTACACGGCTCAAAGAATGTAATCACTGCAAGTAAATGGCACGTGTAGACACTGTTGAATTGGTGTTTGGCTTGCCACTCCGCGGGAGAAAGTTGAGGCTTTCTGCTCCTGTAAAGATGTACAGCCTCAGAAACCTTATACAGGGTCTTTTTGAGTCGGAACTGACTTGATACTTCACAGCATTTAACAACAACAACAACATTCTCAACAACAACAAAATAAAGACATTATCTGTAAGAAAGTGAGCTAGGATTAAGCAGTCGTTCATGTGTAAGATGGGAGGGTACAGTGACTGACCATGATCCCACAGCCAACTGGTGATGGGGTTAAGACTGGAAACCTTATTTCTGTCATTATTTTAGGAAGTAGCATGGACCAGGACCCACAGCAAAAAGGAAATTCATTGCTTTCAAGTCAATTCAGATTCATAGCAGCTATAGGTACAGTGGTTCCTGCTTTGTTTTCATTCTCTAAGAATGAAATTAAAAAACTTGATTTGTAAAATCGAGAAAATGAGGACCTGATCTGCTTGAAGCTGGGTGGGGAGTCTGGGCTTTGGTCCCCAGTGTCACTGAACTATGGTGATGTTCTCTGGGGCAGTGGGGGTGAGGCTCTGAGGAACTTGGCGTTCTGCAGAGCATGGCATGCTATTGACCACTGATAAGCAAGAGGAACTGGTAGCCTTTGGTCTGAGAATGAAAAAAAACCAGCCTTGGGTTTGAGTTCCAGCTATTCTGTTTTCTGGCTGTGTGACCTTGGCCAGTTCTTTAGCCTCTGTGAAACTCAGTTTATTGCTGTGTAAAGTAAAAGGGTGGCTGAGAGAATTCAACGATTTAATGCTCATAAAAGGCTTGTGATGAGGCAGTTGTTAAACAAGCTCTAGCTTTCTTATCTGCCCATTGGCTCTTTTGTTCCAAAGTGAGATGAGAGATAATTTTGCCATGGTTAAAATGCTTGATTCATCTGCCTTACAACATCTCTAGCCTGACGTTCAAAATGGTTATTTGTTTCTAATACTTTAAATAATATGCCCACCATTTTGCCTAATGCTAGAGCTAGGAGTGAGCAACACAGACCTTGTTCACAGTCTCATATAACCTAGAATCCAGTATGGAAGACAAGCCGTAAACAAATGACGCCAGTCCTTTTTCTCTGCTCCCACATACTTACTCCCATATAGACAGTTAAACTGACATTTGCTGTCCTTCCACTATGGCATAAGGAGACCTGGTAGCATAGTGGATTATGAGATGGGCTGCTAGCCACAAGGTTGGCTCAGCAGTTCGAATCTACCAATCGCTCCTCAAGAGAAAGATGAGGCTTTCTGCTCCTGTACAAATTTACAGGGTTGCTATGAGTCAGAACCGACTCAATGGTATACAACCATCAACCATTATGGCTTGGACTTTTCCTGCTTCTCCATCCCATCTTGCCAAGACCTTCCCCTCCTCCTTCTTCACCCCACTGAATTTAGAATCTATCCTTAAAGTTCATGGGCAATTCTATCTAGTTCTCCATGGATCTGTCCAGTTCCAAACATTGTTTTCTCCTTTGAGTGGATAACATTGACCTGTCTTTGGGAGGTTATTTACTGAGTAGGGTTGATGGATAGCTTTGCAGACTGTAGGCTTCATCAGAACAGGAACCTTTTCTGTTTTACACTAATGCACCCCTTAGAGCCTGCTACAGTCCCTGCAACATTAAAATGACGGATGGGTAGGTGGTTATATACATATACATATATATATTATTTGTTTAAATCCGGGTTGACAAGCTTTTTCTATAAAGGGTCAGGGAGTACATATTTCAGGTTGTGCAAGTCAGATGGTTTGTCACATTTACTCAGTTCTGCTGATGTAGTTCAAAAGCAGCCACAGACAACACGTGTTTACAACAAATGAGAGTTGTATTCCAATGGAACTGGACATCTTTGTATGTTTCCCACCCTTCCCTTTCTCTTATTCCCTCTGTGCACTCAGTACACATTTCTTGATCATTTAATTATAGTCTCGCTTTAAACCAAAACATTGTACACACATTTTAACCAGAAGAAAAGCTTTGAGTGCATGTGTTTTAATTCAAGGGATGCTGTTAAAGAAGTGAGATTTACTATCAATATTATTTTATGTTTCTACAGGACTAAGAGAGTAGACAACCCTATTATTTATAAGAGTGTCAAGGAATGAAGCCCAGAGGCAGATGGGTGAATTAGACTGGGAAGAACCCAACACAGGGAGGCCACAGATAAGAAGGAAGCGGCTTACTGTGGTCCAACAGAGCAGCTTATTAAACCTTAAAAATTAAAGATTCAATAAAAAGTATTTCATTGTAGTGCTAAGAAAGATGATAGTGCAATAGAATTGTAGATATGAAAGCATTTTACTACTTGTTATTACTATTTGCCATTGAATCATTTCTGACTTAATCGACCCTGGATAGGGTCTCTGAGAACGACAGGTGGGTTTGAACTGCTGACCTTGTGGTTAGCATGGTTAGCAGTCCAGTGCTTATCCTACAGCACCACATCAAGGCTCATTTTACTACGTTGGAGTAAATATTATGGGTACTAGCAGTCTTTGAAAATTGAGCTTTTTACAACAGACCGTCTGATTTGTAACTGTACTTTATCATCACCAGGTGGACTTTAAAAACCACCAACGCTTGGGCTTCATACCTGACTGATGAAGTCAGAATCCCAGGGGATTTCAAGGTGTTGCCTAGGATGAAAAATGCTTTACCTCCTAAACACCTGTTTGTAGAGTTGTTGTTATTATGTGCCGTGGAGTTGGTTCTAACTCATAGCGACCCTGTACAGGGTTCTGAGGCTGTAAATCTTTACGGGAGCAGAAAGCCTCATCTTTCTCTTGAGGAACAGCTGTTGACTTATAAAACCAAAACCAGTTGCCATTGAGTTGATTGTGACTGATGATGCCCCATGTGTATCAGAACAGAACTGAACTCCACAGGGTTTTCTATGGCTGATTTTTGGGACATAGATCACCAGGACTTTCTTTTGAGGTACCTCTGTGTGCTGTCATACTGCAAACCTTTCAGTTTGCATCCAAGTGCATTAACCATTTATACCACCCAATTGGACTAATGCCAGTACGTTAAATACCAGTTAAGAAAATGAATCGTATGGTGTGCAAATGCCTTTCAAAGATTAAAAGTTCATTATTATAATATTGGCCTCGTGTTTTTCTTGCCAACCTGAAACTAGGTTGTCTAAATTTAAATCCCAGGTCTATCTTTTATCACCTGTGTCATCTTGTCAAGTTATCTCCCCTCTATAAGCCTCAGATTCCTAGGTAATGGGAGGATAAAATGAGGGCAAAATAATATCTGCATAATAGGATCAATATGGGGGTTAAGTTAACACATGCAAGATTTTAGAATACTCAATAAAAAATAATAGCTAGTTTGTGTTTTAAATATGTTCCCCATGCCAAGTTATAACTTGGGAACTGATTGAAATAGGGTAATTTGGAGAAAAGAAAGATAAAGAAAATTTGGCAGTTTTTCCCTCCTTTGGAGGGTGAAATATCATTAAAGTGCCTGATCAGAAAATCACTGGGTAGAAATAAAGATGACTGAATCTTGCTACATCTTGGCTAAGATAGAAAATGCTATCATCCAAGATTAGGAAGCATTTTGTGAAC